GTATATAAAGATATTTGACAAAAAAAAAAAAAAAAAAAGATATTTGACATGATCTTCGTATGGATGGTCCCATATCTTTTAGTATATGCAAGTATAATTGTATCCTATAAAACCAGTTTTTTTTTTCTTTCAAATATACATACGTATGTATAGTGTTTCATTTCAGATTATGATTTCTATGGTTTGTTCGGTACAATTTAGATCGATTATTCTTAACTATATTTTTATGGTTTGGTTCGATACTAAAAATTGGATCGTTTTTCCTCAGATATAATTTTTTGGTATCGTTTTGATTCGAACAAGATCAAATTGGACATCCCTAGTTACTTGATAATCAGTAGAAAAGGAAATAAAAACAGCTATATTTTATGAAATGATCATAATATACGATGCTGATTTTCATAAAATTAAAGGATGATCAAATAATTAAAAAGACTTACTTGGAAGATCCCAAGGATCGTACTTATAGATATCGATCTGTTTGATAAGTTCGAGTTTGATGGTTTTGTTCTCTACTTTTCTTCGAAGGTAGTACCCTAAAAGTTCCTCGTCCGTCGGATGAAATCTGAATCCAGGAAGTGGTGCTTCGTCTTCTTCATGATCCTTACCCAAGTTACCTTCGCCACTCATCTTCACTACATCGATCTCTTTTATACACCAATCAAGTCATTCTGTATAAAAAGTTCTCTATGCATATATATATAGGTAAATCTTTATCTATTTAATGATTATTTATGTGCCCGTTTAATTGGTGCTTGGTCAATTACGAATGACTTTGACTATTATTATGCACACAAGATTTTATAGACTTTCCCAAGTATTAAAATCTTTTACGGGTATTATTTAATAATTTGTTTATTTAATAAAGATTTCTTTTAGAAGAATGAATTCATCCATCTTTCTTATGGTCTTTGTGATTTAATAACAAAATATTTGTATCTTGAATACGATAGTGTTCTGTAATTTATTGTCACCCTTAACTAGTGTGTTTTATGTAACTAGAGAATCTGAAACCTCAGAACCTAAACTTATTTAGGTCTTGTTTGAATGACATGGATACTCTGCTTCTAAACCTATAGTTGATGACTTGATGTTATTTGGTTGTGAATTTTAAAGATATTTCTTAAAAGTATGTAACAAAACAATAAAAGGTGTTTTATATATAGTTTAATAATTTTGATATTGGTGGGCTAGAATGTTATGCAGAAAAGTCTTTTTTTTTTTTGGTGAAACGAGGGGAGACAGTGTCTCCCCGTATTATTCAAAACAAACTAAAAGAAATTACAAACGTACATTCCGTGGTCGTGTAGACCCACTAACATCCTCTAACATGATGGAATTCACACATTCCGGTGGCGACTCGAACATATGAAAACCTAGAGGAAGTGAAAACGCATAGTTCGCTAATCCATCTGCTAGACGATTAGCCTCCCTATACACATGAGTAACCCGGACTATCCAGTCCTTTGCGAAGAAGCCATAGCACAAACGTACTAGGAAGGATAGCTCAGGGAGTTGGTGTGGTGGGTTCGCGGTTAACATTGGATTTTGTTCCGCACCTATGGCAGAGCTTTGGGGAGTTTATTATGGGCTGTTTATTGCGTGGGAGCGTCGAGCTACACGTGTGGAGCTTGAAGTGGACTCTCAAATTGTGGTTGGTTTTCTTACGACAGGGATAAGTTATGCAGAAAAGTCTAGGACAATGGAAACTAATTAACTCATTTATTGCAACTAATTTTATATAATTGAAATTCAAACATGTCGTTATCGGTAGTTGTTACGTATAATACACTAACTACATCAGATTATCAATAAACTGTAAATTCAATACATACGTATAGGTGAAGTCACGTGGTTTGACCATGTTATAATTTTCCAAAATATTGAAAAGATATTAAAATAAGATTCTCATTGGAACCAAAAGATAACTTTTATAATGCCTCCTTTGTAGACTGATTAAACTAGTTTGATAGCCGGGGAGCCAAACAAAAATGTAGATGGTAGACCAAATCAATAAAACAATTCATTCAACTGCATTCCAAACTGTACTTAGTTAGAGCAACTCTGATTTACTACTATTTTGGATCAATCAACATAGACAAATGAACTTCGGAGACCACAACAGAGTGGAACCAACATGGATGAATGAAACAGAGAGTTACAAAGATACAATAACTGATTAACTATTAAAAAAAAAAGCATCTTACAAGTTGAAAACAATGAATATAATAATAATGAGAATAATAATCGGTGTTCGATCTATGACGGCAACAAATGGAACATAGTTATATGACACGATTTTTAATATTACCGCCCTAAAGATTTTTCGAACGGATAAACAATATTGGTGTTCTAGGAAGGAAACAAATAGTACATTAAATTGTTAAGTCATATTTTTGCCACACCAACACTCTTTACTTTTATCATCATACTTTTATCTTGACTAACTACACAATTTTCTACTTAATTATTTAAAACAACTGTTACAGTTGCCGATCAGAGCATTGGTAGATCAGAAATTGGTAGAACATATGTATAAATTAAATCATGCTCATGTAAAGATGACACCTACATGATCTCATAATAATTAGTCAGTACCCACTCCACTTAACATTTTCTTACGAGAAAGAAAAATAGATGGAATGATTAGTAAAATAGTCCAAGGAAAAAGTTTGGTCGACTCGACAAAGTTATTTGATCGCATGACTAATATACGTTTCATAAAGAAATTAATTAACTATGTTTAACTTAGCAAACACATGTGTTCTTCGAGATTCGATTATTTGCCATGACTATTTCTGCACACCGCCTTAACTAAATTAATTTTTAAAAAGTTCTATCCATTTGTCTATTGGTTGGTTATACAAAAATTAAACAATACATATCAAACAAAATAAACTATCAAAGAGGCTAATAGAAATGGAGTTTGGACGAAAAAAAAAAAAAAAAAAAAACTATCAAAGAGGCAAAGAAGGGACAGGCGATAACTTAGCCAGGATTTAGCTCTTGCGCCAAATGGGAAAGTGACCCATTTGATCTATATAACATTCAAAGTCCAGATTTTGACTGTTGAATATGATCATAAAAACTCATTATAAAAACAAGTAATAAAAGTTGCCACAACAATATTAGTACGCATCCAATCTTCTCGGGAAGAGAACAAAATATTCAAAGAAGGAAGAGAGTCAAAGGAACATAATATCCATAATTTCAACTCCATAAACTTTTTTTGAATTTATTCAACATGAAAAAGGAAGAGAAACATTGAATGGTATCAATCAGTATCAGGTTTCTAAAAAAGGAATGTTCATACTTAAACAAAGAAAAAATAAAAATAAAAACTAAAATTAGAAAGACAGCAAAAAACTTTGGCATTTTGATTTACATTTATGAATTAGGGCATTATCATGAGGTCGGTGGAAGCGGTGGAGCAACAGAAACAGTGCAACGGAGATTCTAAACGCCGCAACTAGTCTTCGATTCTCCTTCCTCTCCGCGGCTCCGCCGCCAATCTGCCGCCACGCAGCCGACTGCTTACTAAAGTGGTTTTGTTGCTTTTGTTCTTTAGTAATATTGGGCCTCTTTCCTATAACTAAGTTTAGTTTTTTGGGCTTTACTCAGAGGCCCAAAAGTAACTTATTGTTATTGTTTGTCACATTTTTTGTTTTCAACAACATTTGTTCTTTTCTGTGCAAGAAGAATATTCAAACAAAATGTCAAAATCTAACCAATTGCATACATCGGTATTCGCAAATTCGGTACACCCAGACGAATTTTCGACATGCGACAGAGTATGCTTAGACTGTCTTTTTAATTAAAATATAATTCTGTACTAGAATCTAATTTTCTTAAATATTGATAAACGTAGACAAAATATTTTATTCGGCAAAAATAAATCATTCGTGTGAATGTTTTCCAATAACTTGATACAAATAATTGAAGACTATAGTATCAAAATGAACTTTTTTTTTTTCTGTTTTGGTCAACTAAAATCTTAATAAAATGCATGTTAAAGTTTGATCGTCATTGTTCTGTAATTCCCGTTTATATCTCATGTTGGCTATCACGATTTGAATCTTGAAAATTTGAAATCCATATCAGAATAAAATTTTGAAATCATTTTGCTAGTGAATAATTAAGATTTTTATCTTCATGTGCAGTTAAGAGAAATTAATGATATACATTTCAGGAAAAAATAGCACGAAGTAGAAATAGAAACCGAGACGCGGTATGGGATATGGTCCATTACAGGAAGGCACGATGGTCCACGAATAATTGTTATTACGACAACAGAATTAATTGCATTATTTAAACGAAATGAATCAACGACGAAGAACACACACTAGATCTTTTATTCTTTTTCAAAGTTACCACACACACACACACACACAAATTCTTAGGTGAACGATAAGAAGATTCTGCTGTAATGTAAAACTCTATGAAACAACAACAGATACGTTTTTATTTTTTTTTAAACGAAGAGTTCCTCTAAATGTGACATGATAAACGCCAAAAACTATGATATGGAAAATTATTAGATCGTTGAGACTCTCCTCCTCAAAATTAATGAGACCATTGAACTCGGATAATAAATCATCATTTATTTACATCGTAGATAACAAACAAACACGTAATTTAATTTGGCACATAGCAAAGACTTGATGGATAAAACGTCAAGTTAAAGAAAATTTTGGTATATTAACCGAAAGGTATCGACAAAAAATAAAGCTATAGATGATTGTGATTTGACAAAAACACCCTCAAATCATTGTTTTCAGAGTTTTTTTTAGATAAGGTACAGATAAGAAACCACCTCTAAAAATCAAGCAATAGATCTCATTGCTTGAAGAAGAGAGAGATCTTCACTTGTATGTCCCACTGATTCCAACACAATGTCCCAGAAATGCCACGTGGCGTTCATTTCAGAAGATTGCAGTACTGTTGTCCTCAGAGAATCATTATCTCCCTCGCTGTAATATCTTTATGCTCCTGTCACTTTCTGTCTGTACCCAAAAGAAGTAAAGAACCTCTCTTATCATCTTCTTCTCTGTTTCTTTCATGTTTTGTGAGAGTTTTCTCAACAATTTCTTGGTCTCTTTAGAGTGAGAGAAACGAGATAGAGGAGAGATCTTCTCCTTCTACTTCTGATTCGTCCAGAAGCTTTCCTAATCTGGTTAGTGTAGTAGTCTTTATACGGTCTTTGGTTTTATAAGATGTTGCTATATTTGGAAATAACTATTTTTCAAGCTTTCCTAGATTGCTGGGATATAAAAAGATGTTTAACAAGATAACTAACTCATGGACTTGCTTTCAATTTTAATTATTTTAAAATCATTCTATAATGATTAGAGAGGAATAAACTATTGGGATTCTGAATAATAAAATCAGACTTTATGCTCCTCCGTGTGTTTCTCTTAATCATACGTTATCATTAGCTCTGTTCACTTGTTTTTCCTCTGTTCCTAATTGTATGATGTTTCGAGATTTTCACACATATTAAGAATTCAATCATTGTTTAATCATTTGAACATTAATTTTGATATTACATATTTTAAAATAATTATCAACCAACAGTAATTTAAGAAAGTTAATTATTTTCAATCATTACGCCTTAAAGTTTACGATTTATTAATATAAATCGATAAAAATAAAGAAAAAGCTAGAAAATCAATATTTGTGAGACAAATAACAAAAGCTAAAACATCAATCTTTTAGTAACAGATGGAGTATAAAATATATTATGAGGTTAATAAAAAAAGTTGTTTTTTTTTCTTTTGAAATGTCTCCAGAGATCTGACATGGAACACCAAGGTTGGAGTTTTGAGGAGAATTATAGTTTGTCCACTAATAGAAGATCTATAAGGTAGTATTATATAATAATCTTTGATCTAATGTATCATTCATTTTCAAAAAAACTATATAATATAGTCTCTGTGTGTATTTATGTCTAGGCCACAAGATGATCTAGTGGAGTTGTTATGGCGAGATGGGCAAGTGGTTCTGCAGAGCCAAACTCATAGAGAACAAACCCAAACCCAGAAACAAGATCATCATGAAGGAACCCAAAGATCCAACATCTTCCTTGAAGATCAAGAAACTGTGTCTTGGATCCAATACCCTCCAGATGAAGACCCATTCGAAACCGACGACTTCTCCTCCCACTTCTTTTCAACCGTCGATCCCCTCCAGAGACCAACCTCAGAGACGATTAAGCCTAAGTCTGGTCCTGACCCTCCTCACGTCATGGTTAAGCCTAAGGCCTGTCCTGACCCTCCTCAAGTCATGCCTCCCCCTAAATTTAGGTTAACAAATTCGTCATCGGGTATTCGGGAAACAGAAATGGAACAGTACTCGGAAACGACAATTGGACCTAGCCATTGCGGGAGCAACCCATCCCAAAACGATTTTGATGCCTCAATGAGTCAAGATCGAAGCAAAAACATAGAAGAAAAGCTTAACCCGAACGCAAGTTCCTCATCGGGTGGCTCCTCTGGTTGCAGCTTTGGCAAGGATATCAAAGAAATGGCTTGTGGAAGAAGCATCACAACAGACCGTAAGAGAAAACATATAATGGACACTGATGACTCTGTATCTCTATCAGATGTATGCTTCCTTTAATCCTAACTCATGATGATAACTTCTTGAAAACGAAATTTTGATTCATCTCTCAGAGTTCTTGATTGCTTGTATAATACGTTTTGTAGGCAATCGGTGGTAACAAGTCGAACCAACGATCAGGATCAAACCGAAGGAGTCGAGCAGCTGAAGTTCATAATCTCTCCGAAAGGGTACTTCATCGGTTCGTCTATATATATAATATAGAGTTAATGTTAGAAAATCATATAGTAACATTTATACAAAGAAAACAGATACAAAACTGTGTTTTTTTCTTTTCTTCTTTTCTAAACTTAGAGGAGGAGAGATAGGATCAATGAGAGAATGAAGGCTCTGCAAGAACTAATACCTCACTGCAGTAAAGTAAGTTGATAAATCAAATCTAAAAGTGAATCATATATGAAGATTTGATTTATTCATTGGTTTGTTTTTGCAGACTGATAAAGCTTCGATTTTAGACGAAGCCATAGATTATTTGAAATCACTTCAGTTACAACTTCAAGTGATGTGGATGGGGAGTGGAATGGCGGCGGCTCCGATGATGTTCCCCGGAGTTCAACCTCCGCCGTTCATACGTCAGATGCAGAGTCCGGTACAGTTACCTCGATTTCCGGTTATGGAACGGTCTGCAATTCAGAACAATCCCGGTTTAGTTTGTCAGAACCCGATACAAAACCAGATAATCTCCGACCGGTTTGCTAGGTACATCGGTGGGTTCCCACAGATGCAGGCCGCGGCTCAGGTAAGGCCAATACGACGCCGTGTTTATTAAACGACGATTTTGGTAACATGTTTTATGGGTTAGGCAGGTTACTATATTAATATGACGCTGTTCACAAATAATGTTTAAACGACGTAGTTTTAATTGACACGTGGTGTGGTTTTTGATTAGATGCAGCCGATGGAGATGTTAAGATTTGGTTCACCGGCGGGACAGCAAAGTCAACAACCGCCTGCGCCGACGAAGACCACCGATGGTTCTCGTTTGGGCCACTAGGTTGGTGAGGCACTTTTTTACTTCCTTATTTTTGGTATGTTTGTTTTTCTTATCTATTTATGAACATACTTAAAACGCAAGGGTGTATTATTTATAGAGTACAACGTACAACTTCATTACGTTATTTTATGTATGAGTTTATGTATGTCAAAATGACATGATGAGATTTTTTGTAAACAACATGTTAAAAAAACGGACATGGGATTTTTATAATCGTAAAAACTTTGGAATGGAGTTTATATATCAAAGTAGTCGAATTTTTTTCGAAGATAGAACTACCTCAGATCACACCTATAGATTATAGATCATACCTGTTTTTGAAGATGTAACTAAAACTCCATTCAATTTCTCTCTTTTCCCCTAATAAGAAATCATTTGTTCATATTCATATATAAGACACACAAAAAGCACTATTTAGCTTTGAGAGAAACATAGATGATCAACAGTTTGACCGGAGTTTGGTAAAATATTAATCTCTTATAATGTCATATGACTCATATTGTTCCATAAATAAATAACAAATGATATAACCTAAGCTTTTCTTGCTGATTGTCTAAAATTCTGTATAGATGGAAAAAGCCAAATCACATGTGATGGAGCCAGATTTGAGTGAGAGTCATGTGTCAATTGTCAAACATCGATATTATAAGTTTTTAGCCATGTGCTCCACTGGTCAGAATCTATTTAGCAATAATTGAATTAAATATCTTAGATATTTTTGGCATACTGTTTTTATATATTAATATAATCATTCGAAAGTTTGAAATAGTCTATCAAAAACACTTAACAAATAACAATAGTAAAAGAATTCAAATATTGAACCGATCAAAGGTTGGATACATACATTCAGACAGAGACACCCATATGGCCATATCATCAATCATGTTTTAATCTTCGTGGAACATCCACATAACATTATTTAGTGGCAAAGTAAAAAATGTATAGAATATCACTAGAATGATGAAAAATAAATATTAAAATGCTAAGATGAGTTTCTTTCATTTAGATTGAGATTTGTTTCGAGAGAAGTTCACGGATATGATTTTAGTGGATAGTTTTTAATCATGGCGTTTGTGTTTGATCGACGACCCGGCCAACATATCTTCCGACTTCCTCCGCTCTATTTTTTTTTTCTCTTCCCTTTTAATTTTTAAACTTACTCCTTCTGTTTATATATTAATCCAAATTTTAAGAAAAAAAATTCTGCAAAAAAATACAAATTTAAGGTTTGTAATACCTTTTAATTAGATATTAATAATGAATTGTAAACTTAAAAATTAAATACTATAGATTTAGAGTTATGAAAATTTGTTAATCATAAAATGATGCATTTATAATTAATTTTTAATATATATGAAAAAGAATTGGGATTAATAAAAAACAAAGAACGTACGTCCACTTTCATGTCGTTTGACCATTTGAAAACATTTGCTCCCGATTATCAAAAGATCAATTCATGATCACTTTTTGAATTAATGATCGAAATCACTGAGTAGAGTTCGCTTATATCCAACAATATTGATGTTTTCCAGTAAATATCATCATAAAAACTCAGCCATCATGTCCAAAAATCTCACCAATATATATATATATATATATATATATATATATATATATATAAGAATTTTGACATATTTTGTACCAGCCAAAACATTTTTTTCTTTTTCCAATTGATAATCATCGTAAAAGCTTATTTTTGTTGGATATTCGTAAACTAAATGTCAGAAGCAATATTATTTCACTTCATCTCAGCGGATCAAAATCTTTGTTTTGGTCTTTTTAATGCTACGAGATTTTCTTCTTTACACTTTAACTCTTGGTCGTACCGTCATTGCTAGTATGACAATAGACACTATTTGGACAAGATAGATATTGAAATCTTTTTTGCCCAAAAAAAAAAAAGATATTGAAATCTTCTAGTTTTTTGGTGGTAGATCCCCCATTCATATCTCAAGGGCTTTTGTGACGTTTGAGAATCATGTCATGTAACTCACGACAAGCCATTCTACAACTCTATTACTCAAATGAGGGAGAGATTGGGATGTTGGTATTTCATGTGATCTAATTTCTTCTATATCATCCACTCATCATAGTCATTCGTAAAAAGTAATATTTTTGCTGGAAAAAAACGCAATTAATATATAAAAAAAAAACAATTGGTATCAGGCTTAAAAATAACCGATTTAAAAATTATTAATTTTCATTATTAAAGTCTGAACCACCATTTTTATGAATATTTTTTTTAAAAATGATTACTATACACACAAAAACCATTAACATAGTAACATTTAAAAAAGTAACATCATATCCTTTTTTTTTTTTTTTTTAAAGTAACATCATATCAATATTATTATCAACGTCAAAAAAAGTTTTACAGTAACCTCAGCCATCAATCCCGACCCACCCCGAACAAATGTACTATATGGCAAGAATTTTGACATATCTCATTAAATTTTTTTATTGTATTTGAGTAATTTACTCGGAAATCATAGTTAAACTACAAAAATCTGTATGAAACTATGAATTATTAATTAATGTTAATGAAGAAAAAGCAGTCAACGTGGCAAGATTATGGTAAAAGTTTCATATTCTATTCTTACCAAACTAATTGCCACCAACTAGTGCCGGCTCTCCCCGGGGAATGCTCATGTACAGGGTTCCAAATTTTTTTGTCTTTTTTTTTTAACTAAATTTATTAAAATTAGGGTTCAAATTTTTTTTATATATATATACATAAGAAATTAGGATCAACTGTTTTTTTCAGTTCAGAATTCTTAATTTTTTTGAGCCGGCCTGCACCAACATCATACGTATTAAAATCATTTGTAACGTCTAGAAAAATTTCTTAAAAAAAAAACAAAAATTGTATTGACACTACTGATTTGATGGACGACGAATAAATGAATGACACGTGCTCCCTACGGTACCACTTGGGCTGATAAGTTACGTAACTTATCAAGCGTGCCGAAACAAACACGTGATACGGAGAACTATAAATTAATAATTTTAAAATAAATATGATATTGGTAAAAAATACTTTAAATTTGGAAAACTAATTAATATTAATATATACTACTATATAACTAACAAAGAATATTCAAACTAAATATCATATCTAATTGAATTAATTTACCAATAATATTTTGTTAATATCTTATAATCTTTAATTCTATATCCTAAATCTTTGAATTTAGCTCTTTTAATATTAGTTGTTCAATATATATGATTTTCCAATAAACTTTTGGATAAAACTAACAGTTTATGGGTAATTTAATCATATAAGTAGATGTTATTATAGGGCTATAAACAGTTTTTTTAAGTTATCCGTACCATATCCGTATCCGCATTATCCGCTAATTTAGTATCCGTATCCGGATATTCGTTAAAAATTCGGATATCCGTGAATATCCGAAAATAGTGTTTTTTTTTTGACAAACCGGAAATAGTATTTTAAAATCCTAAATTCATTAATATCATACATAAAAAGTTTAAAAAATTCACAAAATAGGTAGAAGTTGATTATATATACAAAACATTATAAAAACAAAGAATTTATTAAAGTAGCAAAAAGTTTAAAAGATTTATGTGATGTTCTTAAAAAAAAAAGACATTAATCAACTTCTTAAATCTTTCTTAAAAATTTATTTTTATTTTTTTGTCATATGATTTATTTATTAACATTAAAATTAAATAAAAACAACTAAAAAGTTGGCTTCCAAATTTTTTTGGGCTTTAACACTTGAAAAATGGACTCATAAGGCATTTAAGTTTTTTTTTTTTTAACATTTCTGGCTTTTCTGTTTTTTTTTTTGCCGGATATCCGTTATCCGGCCTAAATTTTTAGATTATTTGTATCCGTATCCGTATCCGGACTATCCGTCATTTTACTATCCGTATCCATATCCGTTTTGCCGGATATCTGTTTTTGCGGATCAAAAACCGGATACGGATACGGATATCCGCGGATAACAGATATAAATATTAGGCCTAGATGTTAATATATTTAATAAATAAAAGGAACTAAATAAATAAAAAAAAAGGTCTACAGTCCAATAAGAAAACTATTTAATTTTTATATTGATAATTGAGGGAGAATATGCGTTATTATAAATTACAACCTAACCTACTTTACCGACCCAAAGCCTAAAAAAATCTGACCTTTTTTTTTTGTTTTCTCTCTCTAGAAGTCTCTGTTTTCATCTTTCTCTCTCTAGCCTTTGCTCTTCTTTCTCGTTTCTGGCGTTTCTGTGAATTTTGATCTATTTTGCCCCCATTGTTCTCTTGAAGTACGCATCCGATATCGCCGATCGTCGTAGATCTGCGTTGATATTAGCCGGCTGAGTAAAAACAGAGTGAACAAAAACCAAAAACAAAGGGGGTTTAAAAATCCTGAAGAAAAGAGAAATCGCATGAATTTGTTTGGAAGCCTGATTTTTTCATCTTCGATTTCGAGCCACTTCACGACTTGTCTTCTCATCTTTATTCTTCATTTCTCTCCTCAGCTTAATTGTAATAATAATAATAATAATAGTAATCGTAATTCTAATAATCTCGAGAGTAATCGTTTGATCAATTGAATAAATCATGGAGTCTAGGAAAAACTCTGATCGTCAAATGCGTAGAGGTATTGTTTTCTTCAACCTCTATCGGAAATTCTGTTACTTTTTGTGAAATCGCTTATGGATTGTAATCGTTGATGTATAAGAAGGATCTAGGGTTCTTCCTCTAGATTATAATCTGGGTAATTTGGTTTATTAAACAAAATTTGAGTTTTTGTTAATGGGTCCTCAATTTTGCCCTCGTGCTGAATTCTCTGTCGGTGATTTATTTTCTTTGTGGCGTTTACTTGTTTGGCTGTATCTGCTGATTGCCACAAGTTTTATTTTTGTGGGGTTGTTTAATTCTAATAATCACAATTGTTTCTTTGTTAGAAGAATTGATACTTTATTGGACTTGGACGGTCGTTAATTCGTGCTTTGTTTTCGTATAGCTAATTGCTTCTCAGCTGGTGAGAGGATGAAGACAAGGTCACCGTCCGTGATTGTGATCGGAGGTGGTTTTGGTGGAATCTCAGCTGCTCGTACTCTTCAAGATGCTTCCTTTCAGGTTTGTGATTATACACAACAAATGAAATTTCAAGTTTGATGTTTTATACAATGTCCTGGAAGCTGATTTTTTTATCTTCTTATGGTCTACTTGAGCACTAAATATTGCAGTTCGGATTCATGTTTTCTTCAATGA